AGCCCCAGCACCCGCAGTCCCAGCACTCCCAGGCCCAGCACCCGCAGGCTCAGCACCCCCAGACTCAGCACTCCCAGCAGCACCACCTGCAGCAGCACCTGAGTCACCTGTGACCTCGACAGGCTCAGCGACGGGAGGAGGGTCTACCTGAGAGACACCTGAAGGAGCAGGACCCTGAGGGGGAAGGGGGTCTACCGGAGGGGGACCAGGAGCAAGGAACAGCGGCGGGGGAGGGAGGGGGGCAGTGCGGTAGGGGAAGAGACGGTAAAAAGGGACCGACTCGTCAAAGGTGACGTCCTGAGAGGCGAAGACCCGGCGCGAGGTGGGGTGGTAAAACTGCCAGCCAGGCGCGTCAGGGACAAAGCCAAGGAAGACACAGGGAAGCGTGCGGGAGGAGAGCTTGTCCGCAGACGTATCGCGGACAAGGGCACGAGCACCCCACACCCGGAAGCGCGACGCATCGCCAACCTCCCCCGTCCAACGCAGTGTGGGCGAGGTCTCCGGTAAGGAGACACGGGGCCAGAGGTTGAGCTGATGCGCGGCGTACCGGACAGCAAACGGCCACAGAAAATGGGGAGCCGCCGCGTGGACCAAGGAGGTACGAGCGACCTCCATGACCAGGCCAATGCGGCGCTCAGCAACCCCATTCTGCTGTGGGGAGTCCGGAAGCGTGAAGGTCTGCTCGATGCCCTCCGCCTGACAGAAGGTCCTCAAGAGATCGGAGGAAAACTCACCACCTCTGTCAGAGTGCAGACGCAGGACAGGAAGATCCGTCCGGAAACGGCGGCGGAGCTGGAGACGAACTGTGCGGATCCAAGGGATCAGAACAGCAGGGACCTCACCCTTGGTGCGCAAGGGGAAGACCGTGGTGTAACGCGAGTAGTCGTCGACAACCAGCAAAAAGTACCGCTCACCGCCCTGGCCACGAACGCGGGCTGGGCCCCACACGTCCAGGTGGAGGGTCTGCAGAGGAGCCTCTGTCGGGGGGAACGAGGAGGAGTGAGGAGCGGCGCGCTGCCGCCCCTCGACGCAAGGAAGGCAAGGCGGCGCAGGCGAGGCAGGGAGGGGAGGGAGGGACCTGGGAAGACCAGACACAAGGCGGTGACGGTGCATGCCACGGAGGCGTGGCAAGGAGGGGTGACCCAGGCGGTGGTGCCAGAGAAGAGTCCGGTGCGACAGGGAACGACACTCACAGGCGTGGGCCACCAGACCTGACGCGGACACCTGACCGACAGCAGCGACCTGAGGAGACGCAGTGGTCAGTGTGTAGAGACTCGACCCCGGCCGACGGGTAAACGTAGCCAGGTGACGGCCGGTCCTGGAGCACGTGCAGATCGCCACACGCTGTCCTCCAGGGGTAAAGGTGTCAACCCACTGATCCTGGATGACAGCGTTGCTCACCAGGTTCGTCGAGAACGAGGGGAGGTGGAAACCCGACAACGAGCCAGACGGAACCGCCGGACAAGGGAGCACAGTGGTGGACTGGGCAAGGACTGGGCCCCCAGAGGGGTCAGCCAAGGAGACTGGGACCGGTGCAGGAAGCGGTGTGAGCTCAGTACTGTCACGAAAGAAACAACGGGAAGCACCTGAGTCAAGGGTGAAGGTGTGACAGGCCTCAGCCGGTGCGGTACCTGAGAGAGCAGTCTCTGTGGGTGCTGTACCTGAGAGAGCAGACTCGCAAACAGCCGGGACAGCACTGGAGGGAGCAAGTACAGGGGGCACCATACCAGAGAGAGCAGACTCACTAGTACCCAGGGCAGCGGGCTCTATACCTGGGTCAGGCGGCACACACAAGTAACAGTCTCCCTCGGCACTAACAGTCAATGCATACATGGCAGCAATAATAGCATCATAGTCAAGAGCAAAGATATCAACACCAGCCCTCATGAGCTCAGCCCAGCGGGGGCGCTCAACATCCTCGCCCATCTCCTCACGCCAAGCGTCGTCAAGGCGGGAGAAGCAGCGGTACGGGGTGTGGAACCTCCCACACGTCTGTCCCTTGCGGTCACCTGTGCGAATGACATAGGAACAGCGGCCACTGCCCCCCGACGTCCCACGCTGAGCAAGCCACTCACGAAGCTGCTGGGTCGTCTGGGGACGCTGCTGCTGCTGGGAGCTCTGGCCCGAGCCAGTGCCTCCACTCCGACCTCCGCCGCCACCACTACCACCGCTCCGACCGCCACCGCCACCACCGCCACCACCGCCACCGCCGCCACCGCCGCCGCCGCCACTACTGCCACTGCTTCCTCCGCCGCCCCCGCCTCCACCGCCGACCCCACTCCCACCAGCGCTCCCGCCACCGCTCCCTCCAGCACCGCCTCCCCCCCCACCTCCCCCACCTCCTCCCCCCCCAGCGCCACCACCACCACCCTTGCCCCCCTTGCCCTTGCCGGTGCGGCGCCTCCCACCAGGAGCAGAAGCAGCGCCAGCAGACTCAGCACCAAGGAAGTCAACAGCAGCAGCAGTAGCGTAGGAGGGAGCGAGGGGAGAGGGAGAACACCCCTCAAAGATGGGGGTGCGAGGAGCGCCACGAGCAGCACCGACAGCTACAATGCTCTTTTCGGCCGCGAGCAGCTGCTCCTCTAGGAGGGCGACTGTGAGCTCAGTGGGACAGCGAGCAAGGAAGTGGTCTCGAACTGAGCTGAGGGTGTCAGGGAGACGGGTGACTATGAAGTGGAGTGTCCAGTACAGTGGAGGGGGATTCTTAGCGCAGAACTCGGTGGGAAGGGCGGCACGCAGGCGAGCATCACTAGTGCGAAGGTGGGTGATAAGATCGGCGACTGTAGCAAAGGTGGACAGATCAGGGAACAGGTACGGCAGCATGAGGCGGCTAAGCTCGGCTGTGGCAGGCGAGGAGTAGCGAGCAACGACAGCATCGTACAGGGCCTTAGCGGATTTGCAGTCGCCAAAATGCTCGAGCTCAGCTAGCGGCAGGTGACTGCGAATGGCTAGGCGAGCAGCTGCGTCACGAGTCTGCCAGTGGGAACGAACACTAAGCTCAGCTGTGGCAGGGGGGGCAGGTGCAGCACCAGACGCGTAATCATAGAGCGACACATGCTCCTTGCTATCGCTCAGAAGGAACAGCTGCAGGTCATCCAGCCAAGTGGCGAACTTCACAGGGCGGCCCTCAGCATCGAACGACAGCACGCGGATGGAAGCCATAGCGACAGTGCGACTGAGCAAAGGAAGCTGCCACAGCGCTGCAGGTAGGTAGCTCGGCGGGAAGCGCGGCGGGCGGGCGACGCGGCGAGCGGGCAGTGCGGGGGGCGGGCTACGAAGCGGGCAGCGCGGTGGGCAGGCGGCGCTGCAGGCGGGAAGTGCGGCGGGCGGGCTGCGAAGCGGGCAGCGGGGCGAGCGGGCGACGCGGCGAGCGGGCAGCGCGGCGGGCGGGCTGCGAAGCGGGCAGCGGGCGGGCGGGCGACGCTGCAAGCGGGCAGCGGGCGGGCGGGCGACGCTGCGAGCAGGCAGCGCGGCGGGCGGGCTGCGAAGCGGGCAGCGGGCGGGCGGGCGACGCTGCAAGCGGGCAGCGAGGCGGGCGGGCGACGAAACGGGCAGCGGGCGGGCGGGCGACGCTGCAAGCGGGCAGCGAGGCGGGCGGGCGACGCTGCGAGCGGGCAGCGCGGCGGGCGGGCGACGCTGCGAAGCGGGCAGCGGGCGGGCGGGCGACGCTGCAAGCGGGCAGCGGGCGGGCGGGCGACGCTGCGAGCAGGCAGCGCGGCGGGCGGGCTGCGAAACGGGCAGCGCGGTAGGCGGGCGACGCTGCGAGCGGGCGGCTCGGCGGGCGGGCGACGCTGCGAGGGGCGCGCGAGGGCGCTAACGAGAGGCGCACGAGGGCGCTAACAAGGGCGCGCGAGGGCGCTAGCGAGGGCGCGCGAGGGCGCTAACGAGAGGCGCGCGAGGGCGCTAACGAGGGCGCGCGAGGGCGCTAACGAGGGCGCGCGAGGGCGCTAACGAGGACGCACGAGGGCGCTAACGAGGGCGCACGAGGGCGCTACGAGGCTAGGGCACGGGGTAGCGTGGTAACCGCATGCGAGCGGTGGTGGGCCCTTAAAAAAACGGTCGGTAGGTCCTAGGGACCTCCTGCTCTGAATACCATGTGAAAAGAACTAGGCAAGAATGGTGCATTGAATGAAACAGTTGGGTACAAGTAGCAAACCCTAGTTGGGGTTGTACCTCATATTGGCTACCCCACTACAGCCTACCAACATATAACACATTACAATTTAACAGTAAGGTATATGGCAAACAAGCCACAAAGGTAATTTGATTTGTGTCCCTTGAAACATATGTAAAAGAAGAAAATTACCAGAATATCATCCCCTATTGATCAAGGCTAGCCCAAAAACTGCTCTTTCGAACTCAGGGCTCCTCCTAGTAAAACCTTATATTTTTAGTGAAGGTAGGGTGTTTGCCTTGTTCGAGTAGGCTCTGCTCACCACCACTCTTGTCCATGAAGTGGCTAGCCATTGACAACGTCAATTGTCCGCCGCTAAAACATCCAGCTTGTCGCAAGAATCTTCGTATTCCTGTCCTCCGTGTCTGGTTGTGATTAGCATTCCTCAGGTACCGCCCGTAACTGCGGAATGTTGCTGACGTGGATTACCAGTTGAGCAACTTCACGGATGATCAACCAATCAGGAACGAGTTGCTTTTAAGTTGGTTGAGGTCACTACGGTTTGTGCTACTTCCACCCTACTGCTTGAGCTGGCTAGCCACAAAGCGAAGGTTTGCCCGTGGAGTGGACCTGACAGGTGAGCTCGACGTGCTTGATAAATATGCCCTTGATCTTCAAGATCGTAGCACCTAGATCCTCAACGACCACGACATTTCATCGCTTTCAGAGCGAAACTGCTCATCCCATACCACTCAGCTTCCGTTAGCTTACCCTGTGATTTTTTCAGCAGACTCACGTTCCTCTATTCTTCACAGGTTGACATAGTTTCACAAGGTTGACAATGAGTGCCCCTGGGAGTAGCGTGAAGCTGTTTGAAAAAGAGTCCATGTTGGAAATTCTCCGACATGTGCCAGCTCCTGTTGTGATCATCACAGCTGCTTATGGCGAGCAAGACAATGATGACCTCAAAGTCAGAGGAATGACATGCAGCAGTTTCACAAGGTATAGTCAAACACGCGATGCCGCAAGCTGTGCACACGCTCTCCATCTTGCACGGATGATTAAAAAGGCATTATTGCATTGGCTTTCATTGTCGCAGCGTCTCGCTGGATCCACCGTATGTGTCAGTCTGTTTGCGCAAGAACTCCCTGATGATGAAGGTGCGGATCTCTAAATTCCTCTCTGCTGCATTTTATGCTCGAGTTTTTTTCGCACGTTCCTGAGTTTATGTTACTGCGGGATCTCTTTCTTCAGGTTCTGGAAAAATCGACCGGATTCGGAATTCATCTTCTCAATGAGGAGAACAAGCAAAAGGCTACGGATTTCGCGATGCCGGTACTGCGTGTGGCGCCGTTTTTTTAGCGCTCACAGGACGCAGCCATATGGCGATTTCATGACTTATAATGTCCCTTGTTTTGTCCCAAACTAGTTTTTGTCCCTTGTTTTGTCTCATAAATCCTCTTTGCCGGCTTACTGCCTGTGGATTCTAACACGCTCTCTTATTGCGTTCGTGCGTTCCCTCCTACATGGTGCAGCACGATACTGGCAAGGTTCCATTCAGCAAGTAAGTGTCTGAAAGCTACGACATAGCCAAAGCTCTCGCTTTCATGGCGAACTAATGGGCTGCATGTTACATCAGTCGGGATCGCACATGTTTGATAAACTTTCTGCATCCTTGTGCAGGACGGCTGGTCCTTGGTCTCTGGTATCGCTGGAGAAATACATGCCGGAAGTCCCGCCCAATGCGCCGGAAGGCGAGGAGGATGAGGATAAGGTGAAGGCTGTCCCGGTCATGGAAGAGAGTATGGCTGCTCTGGTTTGCTATCGGAAGGCAGCGTTCGACGCTGGGGATCACATCTTACTGCTGGGCCAGGTAAGAAACTTCCGCCAAGTGCGCCTGGTTACTGAGCAAGCACTTATGCTGGTTGTTGCAGTTGGGTGGTTATCGTCGTTCCTCTTCCATGCGCCCATGATCCCAATCTCGTCAATCTCATCCCCTTAACCGAACCCCCACTTAATGTCCCCTTTCCAGATTCCCTCCCTCCTCCCCCATTGCTCTCCAACCCTTTTCCCCCCTCCCCTCCCCTTCCCCCTGGTCCTTACCTTTTCCTCCCCTCCTCCCTCTCTAACACCTTCTCGCCCATTCACTTTATCTCTCCATAGCCCGTGTTTTGAGTCTAGGCGTCATTTTTACTCGTTTAGTGCTGCCATGTCGATTCATGTATGGTCTCCGATCCCACATCATGCGTTTGTGTCCATTCTGGTAGTTGTGTCCCGGCATGGCTGTCTAACTGTTTATACCTCTAATCCCTTCTTTTTGGATTGACACAAAATTTACAGAGTTGTGATCTTCCTGAGTCCTGACATGCTTTTGTTTTTTTCTTCTTCCATTGAGCAGGTTGTTGCAACAAGTCACCATGATTTCCACCCTCTCATCTATATGAACCGCCACTACCACCAGCTGGGCCATGAGGTGTAAGGCTGTTGCATCTATTTTAATATATATTAGGATTGCTTCCGGAATGGACATCCTGGACCAAGTGCGTTATGGTTCAAGGAGTTAGCCTACCGTCATTATTCAGAGTGAAATATATTGGGGTACAGTTGAGGAAAAATCTCCACATACCATGGTCAGCTTCTTATGTGGCAAACTACCGTAATTTGTGGATGAGTAATTTGCCTAACGAAATATCATATGACACAGGGTTATGCCTGGATCGAAAATACCCTTTGGGAACCATTATCGTACGTAACTGGATTCATAGATAGCTTTAGCAGTCCTGCTGGACAACTAGGATACATGACCAGATGGGACAAACTGTTAGAATATATATTTATATATATTTATGTACCTGCCTGTAGCTGTAGCTTTAGTATAGTTATAAATAACTGTGTTGGTGGTTCACCTCCTTTGTCTCCTACTTGTACCCACAATTCTATAGTGAGAACCCCTTCCTTTCTACTCTCGATAGTTGCCTAGTACTCAAACCCTAGGCACTACTAATGACATTCTAACGTGGTGTCAGAGCTGGTTCTTTCCTAGAACCTTCTCTTTTTTTTTTTTTTTTTTTTAAGGTAACATGGGCCCGCCCTTCCTGCAGCGCGAAATGCGCTACTTTCTTCTTCGTCCCGTCGCGCCCTTCGCCCGTCACGTCCGTCGTCCCGCGGCCTCCGTTTCGTCGCCCCGTGGCCCCCCGTTTTGTCACCCCGCGCCCCCCCGTTTCATCGCCCCGCGGCCCCCCGTTCCCGTCGCCCGCGGCCCCCCGTTCCCGTCGCCCGCGGCCCCCCGTTTCGTCGCCCCGCGGCCCTCGTTTCGTCGCCAGCGCGGCCCGCCATCGCCGTGGCCAGCCGCCTGCGCCACAGCCAGCACCAGCAGCAGCGCCGGTGACGAGCGCCAGCGCCGGGGATGGCCGCCAGCGCCAACGCCAACGCGACCGCCAGCGGCTACCGCCAGCGCCAGCGCCAGCACCACCCGCCGCCGCCAGCGCCAGCGCCAGCGCCAGCAGCCCACGCCAGTGCCGGCCGCGGGTGATGCCGCCCTTAACACCCGCCCTCCCTTACTCTCCTCCCGTCGTGGAGGGTGGGGGGGATGTGGGGGGGGCGGGTGTAAGGAGCCAGCACGTCCTCCCTCCCTTCCCTCTTACTCTCTCCCTGCAGCACTTGTTGCTGTGGGAGAGGGGGGGGAAGGGGGGGGGATGAGAGATGCTAAGGGAGGGTAAGAGAGAGTGGTGGAACCAGTAGCCACGCATCTGCAGCTGCCGTCCACTGCTACTGTGGCACCTACTTCTGCAGCCCCTGACGCTTCTCTCTCTTCGTTCGTCTTCTTTGCTGTTGAGCTGCAAACTAAGCGCGCCACAGCACATCGTCTTCGTTCTCTCTTTCTTGCCTCAGGGCTTGCTGCAGCTGTCTCTGCCACCACTGCACTGGTTGTCATTGCACTTGCCTACTGTTGCTGCTTGTTAATAGAACTAGGCAAGAATGAGTGCATTGAAAGAAACAGTTGGGTACAAGTAGCTAACCCTAGTTGGGTTTGTACCCTGTATTGGCTACCCCACTACAGCCTACCTACATATAAATAACACATTACAACTTAACACACCCCCATAGGCAAAGTGGGGGAGAGCAAAGGGTCACAAGACCAGTCCAGCAAAGCAAAAACAAGCCCAGGGTGGATCACAACGTCACCACACTCCGAGCACAAACAAAGGCCACAAGGCCAGTTCACATGTAGTGCTAGATATAGAACAGGACAAGCAGCAAGACAAATATAAAGTACAGTACAAAGAATGTCAAGCAGTGAGCAAGTGAGGAAACGTGGACACAAGGCCTAAAGAAGTACAGTGCCGCTGATGATCACTAGGCGGGAGCGCCTTGGTGAAGATATCAGCAGTGTTGGCCTTCGAGTCCACGTACACAAGCCGAAGCTGACCGCGCTGCTGAAGCTCTCGAGCAAGAAAGTAGCGAAGAGCAATGTGCTTCGTCCTGTACTCCAGTCTGTGCTCCTGACACAAGGCAAGAGCCGCCTTGTTGTCACCGTACAGAACTGGAGGAGAACTAGGCCGCTCTCCCAAGTCAGTCAGCAGGTAGGTGAGCCAGCGTAACTTCTGTGCAGCCATGGCTGTGGCGTAGATCTCAGCCTCACAACTAGAGCCGAGAACAGAAGAAGAGCGGGTGGACCGCCACGAGACAGAACCAGAGCCAAGGCTGAAGGTGTAACCCTGTGACGACCGCTGCGTAGCCAGGTCGTCCACCCAAGAAGCGTCCGAGTGACCAGTGAGGACAACTCTGTCGCGTCCTCCAAGCACCAGCCCCGTGCCTGATGTACTGCACAAGTAACGCAGCACCCTCTTAGCAGCCTCCCAGTGCTCTCGCCTGTGTCTCCCAGGCGCAACGTAGCGAGCAAGGATGCTAAGTGGGTACGCGAGGTCAGGTCGCGTGCAAGTCATCAGGTACATGAGGCAGCCTACAAGCTCTGGGTACGGGCCACTCGGCTCTACGGACTCGTCCGAAGGTGGAGCTGAGAGCGAGTGGCTGGTAGCCAGAGGTGTGGCCTGTGGTGAGGAGAACTGGAAGCCGAAGCGCTGAAGGACCTGCTGCACCATGTGTGACTGACTCAGGGTGATGGTGCGGCGAGCTCTGTCCCGGGTGATCTGCAAGCCAAGGTAGCTACGTAGTTCACCCAGGTCAGTGCAGGTGTGTCTCTTCTGCAGCTCCGACTTCACACGAGCGAGTGCCTCAGTGTCAGCAGTAGCAAAGACCAAGTCGTCGACGTACACGAGAATGTAGAACGGCGGCAGCGACGTGTCTGTGCGCAGAAACAGCGACGGGTCAGCAGTAGACGGCGCGAACCCAAGAGCCGCAAGTGTAGTCCTCAGTGTGTCGTGCCACTCACGTGGCGCCTGGCGGAGACCGTAGACTGGCCGGCGGAGGCTCCACTGGGTACCAGGAGGAAACGACCCAGTAAAGCCAGGTGGGCGGCGCAGCCAGATCTCCTCGTGCAGGCTGCCCTGCAGGAACGCTGTGCTGAAATCAAGAGAGTGAAGCTCGTAGTCACGCTGAGCAGCAACGTGCAGCAGAACCCGAAGAGTGGTCATCTTCGGGGTGGGGGAGAAGGTCTGGAAGAAGTCGACCCCCTGACGCTGACTGAAGCCTCTAGCAACGTAACGAGCCTTGAAGACAGGCGGAGAACCTGGCGGCCGCTTCACCCTGAAAATCCACATGCCATCGACGATGTTCGCCCCAGGAGGGGGAACCTCGTCGACGTAGGTGCCTGTGGACTTCCAGGATGCCATCTCTGCGTCCATGGCTGTCTGCCACTGAGAGGAGTAGGGACCCGAGATCGCCTCTGCGTAAGTGCGCGGAGTGGGGATGTCTAGTGCATCCGGGTCTCCCTCAGGGGCAAGCAACCAGGCCACGAGATGAGGTACAGCAGCCGCGAGAGAGTCAAAGTCCTCCTGCCTGTCCTCAAGGACGTCCGTGCCAAGAGCACACTCACCCCCGACGGATGGAGGACAGACAGACTCAGACTCAGCAACAAGACTGGCGGCGTAGTCGAGGCGACAGGCAGCAGCAAAGTCGACAAGCTCAGCGACCAGGGCAGACGCAGCAGAAGACTCAAACGACGGGTCAGTGACAACAGTGGCGAGAAGACGCGTGACAGTAGGGTGGGCAGCACGAACACTGTCAGACTCAGGGTCGGGAACGTCAGGAAGAGAAGACGCAGGAGGAGACGGTAGGGGGACACGCTGTGGACCAGTGGAAGGACGAAGTGCCATAATGTGCGTGCCAGGAACAGGAGGAGGACGCGGACGCGCGACACGACGGCTAGTGGGACCAGTGCGAGCAGTGCGAGCAGCGCGAACCGGCGAGGCAGGACGAGACGCAGGCTCACGACGCTCCGTAAGCGAGTCCGGCTGCGCCTTATAAGGCACAGGAGCAGGGAGGGGGGAGCCAGGCTGAAGGGGAAGGCCAGTGGAAGACGGGAGGGAAAGAACCTGGCGAAGCACCGTGTCAGGCGGCGGCAAAGCCGACGGCGACGGAGGAGCGAAGAACAGGCGCGACGGCGGAGCTCCGCCAGCACCTCCAGCACCCGGAGCACCAGAAGCACCTGGACCAGCACCCTCCGCCGCAGCACCCCCCGAGTCGGCGACGTCAGCACCAGAGGCCCCAGCAGCGTCAGACCTCCCCTCGCCAGCACCTCCAGAACCAGCAGGACCACCGTGTCCAGAACCGTCAGCTCCAGCGTCGTCAGCTCCAGCAGCTCCAGTACCGCCAGGAAGAGCACCCCCAGACGCAGCAACCCCAGGCTCCGTAGGCTCAGTAGCAGCACCCCCAGGCTCAGTACCCTCAGGCGCAGTACCCCCAGGCTCGGCACCCCCAGACTCCGTACACGCAGGCTCAGCACCCCCAGTCGTAGCACCCCCAGGCTCAGCACCCCCAGGCGCCGAACTCCCAGGCACAGTACCCTCAGCTCCAGCACCCGCAGTCCCAGCACTCCCAGGCCCAGCACCCGCAGGCTCAGCACCCCCAGGCTCAGCACTCCCAGCAGCACCACCTGCAGCAGCACCTGAGTCACCTGTGACCTCGACAGGCTCAGCGACGGGAGGAGGGTCTACCTGAGAGACACCTGAAGGAGCAGGACCCTGAGGGGGAAGGGGGTCTACCGGAGGGGGACCAGGAGCAAGGAAAAGTGGCGGGGGAGGGAGGGGGGCAGTGCGGTAGGGGAAGAGACGGTAAAAAGGGACCGACTCGTCAAAGGTGACGTCCTGAGAGGCGAAGACCCGGCGCGAGGTGGGGTGGTAAAACTGCCAGCCCGGCGCGTCAGGGACAAAGCCAAGGAAGACACAGGGAAGCGTGCGGGAGGAGAGCTTGTCCGCGGACGTATCGCGGACAAGGGCACGAGCACCCCACACCCGGAAGCGCGACGCATCGCCAACCTCCCCCGTCCAACGCAGTGTGGGCGAGGTCTCCGGCAAGGAG